TCTTCTTATATACCCTTGATGACCTGTCAATTTTTTAATATTTGGATTGGTCCTAGGTTGTCAACACCAGATTTAAATTCAATTGGTTTTCAGTCGCTAAGTACCTGATTTAAATTAATTGACTGATATTCAAAGCTGGTTATCTTAACATTAAAATGAACCTAGGTTGCCAACCACACAGCCAATTGATACATGTATTTCAATTTCAAAATTATCTGTGCATCAGCAGCTGCTTGCAGACTTATTTTTATCTCCAAACTTAGAAAAGCACAACACCTCTTAGAGGGACCACACACTCTTCCCCTCTATCATTTTTAAACAAACAAATTCTAACATCCTGCCTTCCAATTCACAATTACTCTACTCAACTTCACAACAGTATCCATGTTGCTACTGTCCCTATAATTCCAGGAGCTATAACTTTCCTCACGGGTCTGTGTGTGAGGCACTGTATCAAACACCTTCTGGAAATCCATGTATACCACAACAACATTGGTCTCATCTCGCCTGCCACCTCTTCAAAACAAAAGCAAAACTCTAGTAAATTGTTAAACAAGGTTTCCCCTTTTGAAACCTGACTCTTACCAACTTTTTCCATGTGACTACTAATTCTATTCCTAAGTGTTCCTAGAAATTTCTCCAAAGTTGAACTATTTGCTCTGTAAATGCTGCGATTATCCCAAACGTTCTTGAACAAATCTGTAACATTTTCAGTTTTCCAGTCTTCAAACACCTCCCTTGAATCCAATGCAAGGGTACTGGCCGTATTCTGTTATTTCCCTAAATCCTTGGATACACCTCATCCCAATCTGATACTGTGCCAACTTTATGTGCCAACAATCTATTCAAGACTTCTTTCTTATTGATTTTAAACCCCTTTAGTGTCAGTTTCCTCCATCGCCAGGGCCCAGGCAGCTACCTCCTCCTTTGTAAAGACAGATACAAAGCATTCAGTTCTGACAAAGGGTCACTGGATTCAAAACATTAACTGTTATACTCTGCACAGATGCTGACAGACCCACAGTGTTTCTCTAGCACATTGTTTTACATCTCGCATCCACAGTTCTGTTTTATTCCAGACATACTTGGCTATTTGGTGAGAAAGGCCTTTCCCCGCTAGATCTTTTCTGCCGGCCCCTCATTTATTCACCTCCGTGTGATGCCCTTGGCTGTAGTGGGGATGACACTGGCACCCATCTCTTTCAGGAAAGTGCAGGTTTTGAAAGAATGTAAATAGCCTTTGTCTAAGTTTGTCTTGAACTGCACTGTAATGCAGGACTGTGGAGAACTGTCCACTCTGTTTGGGTGTCCAAAACTTGCTGGTCTTCCAGGGTAAAAAGACAGCCATGAGAAGTGTTCCAGAATGGCACATTCAAGGGATTAAATGCCAAGGGACACACTAGAACTTGCAGCAGATAAACAGCTCAACGGGAAAAGGCCACTAAAGTCCAAGGTCCTCAAGCAAATCGTCCCATCGCACCCTCCCCCGCCCAAAAGTATCGAGCCCTAGGATTGTTTGGACCTAAGTTTGACATGAAATGTATTGTACACTATAATTCGATCTGCAAAATGGAATGAGGCACTTTATGTATTGTATTATTATTACTGTACTTTATGCAATATCACATTCGAACTCGTTTTTTAAAATTTGTGATGATACATGTATATCTTAAAAAAGACGAGGAACGCATGCGGCAGTAGTCGGCTCGTAAAAGGGGTCAGGCCACACTGTCTTCTCGCTTTTAGTAAACAGCTTGCCGCCTCGGAATGATTTTCCCTTGTTATTCAAGCGAGACTAACAGCAGGTTCCCACCAGAGCACAGCTCCCTGCTTCCGACAGCAGTTTGTAGTGTTGGATCCCGAAAGCCGTCCAGCTGTTTACTCAAAATGGTCCTAGTCTGGCGATACTATAATCACTGTGTTATTTCACTGGCAGAATGCAAGCAAAATCAACAATCATATGTTGCACTGTGATTAAGTGACCTACTTTAAGAGAAAAAAGACAGTTGCCAAATTATTCCTTTGACACAGACGTTGATTGAGCACGTACGAAGGAATTACATTTTACAATATTAATCATTGCTTTGCTATTGACGTAACCAGCACCGCAGGTCACTGTTCGGATAGATCTGCGTCATACATTCACAGAAGGTGGCCTAAATCAGACAGGAAACTGAATTATTTTCGACTAATTTTATATTCTTGCACATAACGGAGTTAACGACATCGCAAACACAGTTAACAATCTCAATCTCCGGCCGCATTCATGTTTCCTCTTCCTTTCCAGGGTACAATGGAACATTGAGCAGATAAATCTTGTTTCAAGGAGGGTCTGGCATAAAAACAGAGATAACTACGTCCCCTTCTGTTAAATTGGACGATAGATTAAAATCACTGAAATCGAATGCCGCTTTAATGAGAATTTCTTTTCCATCAACGTGGATCAGAAACAATAAACAAAAATAACAAATAATGCTGTTTGTTTAGTCAGGATTGGAAGAAGGTTGGTGGTTTTAATTGTTTTAACTTTTATGTTGGTGGATCCTCTGTTCGCAACAACTGATCAGTTTAGTATCTTGAACCGATACGATGACACAAAACGCTTAAATTAAATATACAGTAATTAAATAGGAAGGCAATCCCTGCATACAACCAAAACAAAAACCGAAACAACTGCGGATGCTGGAAATCAGAAATAAAATCAAAAATTCCTGGGGAAAAAAAAGTTCAGCACGTCTGGTAGCATCTGTTGGGAGAAAGCACAGTTAAGGTTTCAGAACTGAAGAGGGTTACTGGACTCGAAACACTAGCTTTGCTTTCTCCCCACGGACGTTGCCAAACCTGCTGAGTTTCTCCATCAATTTCTTTTTTTTTGTTTTAGGATAGACAAGTGTCCTTTGATAATGACTCTATTTCACACTTTGTTCCTGCGTTCCTGGCTTAATGTTCTCTTCAAAGTGCAAGTGTGGATTCCATTTCTGTTAAAAAGCGGTTTTATTTACATATTTGATAATTAAACAGGGCATGCATCTTTGGAAGTCTCTACCAAAGCTATAGGTCAGACTCCGATATTTATGACAGCCAAGAACCGACGGGGTTTTGGCTTGTGTGTTTCTGGAGTGCTCTTGCACATGCAAATCGCTGCCCGAGTTTCTCTATACACATTGTTAAAGTTAACACATCCGCGCGTCTGAAAGTGAGCAAATCTGGCAGATAGGGTGACCTAATTCATGGAAAATTCAAGGCTACGAGATTTAAAAAAAAAAGAAATGCCAACTACGAAATGATTTTTAAAAAACGAGGAAGCAGGAAGTCGCTCACAGGAGATGCACGCTTTAATACTTAACACGTCCTCTGGCTTTGTTCATTTTGAGCTGGAGACTAGGCGGGGAGTGTCCACGTAGGCAGATCAGGTACACAGACATTGTACAAACATGAGATATCACGTGTAGGTGGACATGCTCTGGTGTTCAATCTCTAGATATCAGGCAGCCTGCTACCTTCACCATCCCTTCCTCATTTGTACAACTAGCATCTCATCGCTAAATGAAACTTCTCGTCACCCAATGCCTTTTCTCCATCTATCCAATTGACTCAGTCTCTTATCAAACAATGAACGTATTTCACCATGTACCCAACATTTACTCAATTAATCCCTTGCCATTTACCTCCTTCCCCTGTGAGCTACCACTCTCAATCTGAGGAAAACATTTTAACACATTAAATATATACTTCATTATGCTGTTGTCTGCAGTAGGATCTTTGTATGAAAGCTGAAAGATTTTGAAATTGCAATAAGTTAGTACAGTTTGAACAACGGAAACTTTATTCAAATATTTCACAAAACTAAATTGTTTTTACAAACCTATACTAAAAGTATGAATTCAATACCGTCAGAATTATTCATTTTCAACACACAATACAGTGCTGATCAATAAACTGGAGATTATATTGTCAGGAAATAGTTCATTTGTGCTTTTATTCTCAGAATTTATAATACCATACAACTGAGCCAATTTCACAACATTGCTAACATTCCAATCTATTTTCTCCCATGTTGTTCAAATGTGGGATTTAATTCCACTGAAACAGTGGTCCTTCCTACTTCCAAAATCCATTGGTGACTTAGGAGGAGGAAAATCAGAATCTAGCAGACAAACTTTTTATCAAGACAACAAATTGGGAGGGGGTGGGTGGGGGCGTGAAGCCTTAACATATTAGGTTAATCAGTCTGAACAAGCAGGTCTTTCTATGAACAGATTATAGTACAATCACTTACTACTTTACTGAGCTCCTGCCAATTATATTTGCTCTCTTTGCGAAGATATTTTTCAGCAGATACTGTACTCCCTACACTTTGTGGTCTGTTAGCCATTATTTATAACGAGTCTTTAGAAGCACTAGGTATTGCCAGTGTACATCTAAATACTTAGCAGCATATATAAAAATGAGTAAACCTAAACTTTTGGTCCTGTTGCAATCTATTTTGCAAAAGATTCAGATTATTACAAAAAATCGTTAGAGAATTGCAAAAGCAACTGTTACTATGTAGAATCACGCTGTTCATTTAATTCCCATGTCATCTGCAAACGTGTAAACTCAAAACCGTACCATTTGCCCGAGATACTGACTCCTGAGCAATACTTGTCCCAGTTTGGAAAACATATACAATTACTCTCGGCTTTCTGACCGTTATTCCAATTCCATATTCCACTGACAATTTAATCCATTCTCTTCAATTATGTTGTTGCCTCAAAAGTTTTTTTTGGAAAAAAATACCCAACAATTGATGCTGAGATGTGCAGCTTTAATGAATTGTTTTGTAAATTGTTTATGTGTTAAGTTCATGCAGAGCTGTCCGACTTACAAGTTACATAACTGTCCTCATTGTAAGTTGTTCCTCGTGCAATGCACAACACTCTTGTTACCACACAGTAACCCACGTTAACGTATATTGAACCTCCCCGCAGTAATGGAGCCGCATGGAGACGGTCTCTTACCTCCAGCGGTTCACACCAACGTTGGACGAACCGGCGAACCAAGGGTCGAGAATGTAGACGCAGCGAACGGTGCTAGCGCCCCGTAGAGCTTCCTTGAGCGCCGGGTTATCATGAAGCCGGAGTCCTTTACGGAACCAGTGGATTGAATGGGTCTCCATGGCCACAAGCGGCTGTGATGCGAGAGTTGACAGTGACTCTAACGGCTGCAGCAACTTAGCGCCACGGCCGGCCACCCAACCTCGCACGCAGGCGCATTCGCACCTGCAGACTGCGCCTCGCGCTCCGACCGTTAGTTGTTCCACAGTGGGCAGCGCGAGCCCCGCCCCATCCGCGCCGCTCATTGGACAGTGCGCAGGAGCGGATCCCGCCCAGGACTCGGCGCTCGCGGCAATTCTGATAAACTCTGTCCTCATTTAAAGAGTAGATGTCTTCATATTCATACGTAAATATATAATCAGTACATCTTGACAACAGAGCATATACGCTTCCCAAATTGGTTCAATGGCATAAGTGTGTGTTGCCCACTTGACGCGCTGAATAACCTGATTCCACACTGTGGGGACTCTGTGATTCTATGCCTCAAATGTTGTATCAGGCCATGGTTCTTATTCAACAAGTGCTGGACAATATTCAGGCTTGGGAAAATCTGTGCTGCAAGTGTTACTTCCTTCTTAAGTACACAATAAAACATTTACGTTCATCAAGGCCTCTTCGGCAGTACCTTCCAAATCCACAACCATTACCAACTGCAAGGACAAGGCAGTAGATGCCTGGGAGTATTACTGTCCGCAAGCATCCTTCCAAGCCATGCACCATCCTGACCTGGAAATACATCAGTGTTGTTTCAGTGTTGCTGGGTCCTGAACTCACGAACAACATTGTCACTGTGCCTTCGCACGATGTCTGGGATTACAGTAGTTCCAGGAGGTTAGCGATGCCGCCGTTGATACTTACATCCCATGAAAAGATATTTTGAAAAAAAGAACTAGTTTCAGTCGCTATAACTATCTTCTAAGCTCCTGTTTGCAGTGAGTCATATCTCCATGCTGTACTGCTGGCCAACAGTATGTCATTCTCGGCTAAGTGACTGTTAAGAAAATTCAGAATAATTTGCGTAATCTTACCACAGAGTGAGAAAAATATAAACTCTATCAAATTGATTATTTTAGTATCTTTTGGCTATGCAACTGAGAGAAGGCCCAGACAAAGCCTTGGCCAGGCACACTCCTTTCCGGCTGACAATGAGAGAGTCCACCTATGAAGATCAAAACTGGAGGGAAAAACAAATTAAGAACAAAAGTGCCCTGCGATCTATGAATCAGATAACCCTAGATCAATTAGACACCACTAAATCTCAAAAGCCGTTTTAATGTTGGCAATGCCATAATAGACATTGCGGGGAAATACCGCTTGGAATGGAAACATATACACGCAGTTTCTGGATTGTGGATTGGTCCCATTCTTGAATCCATTCTCGAGTCTATTTGTACGCAAGATGGAATACAATGCACGACAACTTAAAATACCTGATGATAAGAATGAGGAACCATGCACATGTTAATGTTAATATTAGTGCATCCCTGTATAGGATTGCATATGTCAGAATCAGCTATTGTAAATCAGACGTTCATAAACTATATTTTGTCCTAAAATAGTCTGATATTATAACGAAAGCAACAATTCTTAAGGAATGGAAATTTAGGAATGATACATCAGAGTCTCAGTTTTTGGGAATGGTAACTTAGGATTGATATATCAGAACTCCAGTTTTTGAGCATGGTAACCAATTCAGATACTGCATGTTAACACATGTAGAATTGTTGTTCTCAGTAGTAATTGATGTATTTATATAGTAATTAATTACTATATTTAAGCAGAATATCAGTTCTAGATAACAGTCAATAGGCCACCAATTGTTCAGTAGTTACTTCTCTCTTTGGGTGCTGGATTTTATGCTTGTTGATTTTATGTCAAATTAAGTTAGATTTAGAAATCTGCATGGCCAATAGCAGGAACTATAAGTGATAATGTGGCTGTATTAGCCATATCCATTTCATTTTATAGGTATTGAAAAGTAAACTAAGTAGCACCTACACACAATCCATTCTATGCTACAGACACTACCCTGGTAAAGTTCTACCAGTTAATTTTGTCTCAAAGGTATATTGATGTAAAGGTTTTGTGCTTGAATCCTTTAGAACACCTGTGACTTCTGGCTCAGGTGAGCTGCTAAACCAACATGAATATATTATCAAAGTTGTACTATTGTATGGGACCTTGCATACTATGCTGGTTACCAAAGTGAGCAAGGTGTAGAGCTGGATGAACACAGCAGGCCAAGCAGCATCATAAGAGCAGGAAGGCTGACGTTTCGGGATGAAGGGTCTAGGCCCGAAACATCAGCCTTCCTGCTCCTA